TATACCCCCTTATAGATCGGCTTCATAAATGAGGCCTACTAACAGTAAGACTAGCTTATCTTATACATATATATATAACTATTAATCTTATAATATTATAATAGTATAAGGGTTGAATTTTAAACTTGTAAAATTCTAGGGTTTAGAATTTAAATATCTCAAAATTAAAACTATTAATCAAAAATTTAAATTCCAAAACTTGAGGGCAAGTTTTTGAAACTTTTCAAAACATCTTATAGATCAAATTTGAAAAATAATTAATTAATCATATTATTAATCTTTATCACATAATTTGACCTAATCTATTTCAAGGCAAGATAATTCAAATAAAAAATACAAATAATTAATTTTATCTTATTTATTGACAATTATCTTTTAATTGTATTAGGATAATCAATACCATATTGAAAAATTCGAATTTTATCGGTCAAAAATGTTTTTGGTAATTATCCCAATTCAATTCTGACTAAAATCCCGAAAAATCTGCCAACAGACGAGCCAACTCGCCGAGTCACAGACTGGACTCGTCGAGTAGCCCTGACTCGTCGAGTTCATCAGGTGACTCGACGAGTTCATCAGTCAGATGCAAATTTTTCGACTTTTGAGCTTTGAACAATTTAGTTATTCATCAAAAACAAAAGAAAAACGACATAGGCTCTGACACCACTGTTAGGTTATGAGCAAAACATCAATCCTATGGTGCACATGCAAACCCTAAAGCTTTGGATCTAGGTTTTTCTAATTGTACATGCAATAATCATCCAAAGCTTGTAAACCCTAATACTAGCATACTATAATCGAAAAACTACATCTAATAAACAAGTTAGAATGTTACCTTTGATTGTAGCTTGATAATCTTGAACCTTTGAGAACCTAGCACCTCAAATGTGATGCCTCTAATCGATCACAAACACCAAAGAAATTGGAGAATCTTGGAGAGAGAGGGAGGAGGCTCAAAAGTCGGCTGGCTATCCTTCTTAGGGTTCAGTGGCCGATTTTGGCTATCCCAAGGGTTCATTATATAGCTAAGCAGTTAGGGTTTCAGTCAAAACCCTAATCCAGTTGCTTAGTCCTTAAGCAGCCCAAAGGATCCTTCCAGAAGGCTCCTTGGACGATTTCTATGTTGGCTTCCCCATAGAATTCGTCAATCCCTTCTTTAGGGTTCCTCAGCCCATATTGCAACTATCACATAATTACAATATCAGTCCCCTTAATTTAATTAACCTCTTTTGACCACAAATTAATTCTAAATTAATTATTGACCAATGTTAATTAAATAATATGATTTATCTTTTAATATATTATTCACGTAATATATTAATAAACCACATTTATCCTCTTTCTCAATTATTCATCCAGTCAAGTTGTTTTGGTGAAGGCAACTCAAAAGGACCATGCTACTACCGGGTCAAGTACATACCAAATATAGTTATGGGCTTAGACATCTAATCCAACACTTGCATACTCTATTATTTGAATAGATGTCAAAGGAATTTCAGCTCTCTATGTTTCATGGCAACATTTTCTACAAAATTTGTAATTCAATATATAAACCGATTCTTTCAATATCATATTCTTCACCATTTGTCAAATTTGTTGCAGGATTTAAACAACATTTTTTTATTCATCATCAACTAAAAAAACTAGTTTGGAAGCATCAAACAAAGAAACAAATACATAAATAAGAAGTTCAATCAGCCTCCAGATTCACATCAAGAAACAAGAACAAAAAAGTTACGAAAGGAACTTTAGAAATTTATAGCAGAAGCAAACCACAGTGGTACCTGAAGCAAGCCAGATACAAGATTTCGAGCTTAAATAGGGAGAAATTAAAATCGAAAACAATCATAATCGAACTCCAACATGCAAAAACAAAAAATCCAACTCCTAAAACAAACCACAAAAATCATATTAATAGGAGATAGATTGATGGAAGCAGATTTCAAGCTTGAATAGAAATTAAAATCGAAATCAGTAGAAATTGTAACTAAAGCAAACCTCAAAAAGCCAAAGTTTTACCTAAAGCATATCTCAAAAATCAAACATAAACCAACATATTTCGAGAACAAACAGATAGAAATCAGACCTTTGGAATTGATCAAACTCCCAGGTCCATTCTACTGTAATCAAATATACAAACCCAACTCCTGAAAAAAACCACAAAAGTCAGAATTCAGACTTCAGGGCAGCAGGTATAGAGAGAAATTATAATCACATTAATACAAATCAAACTCACCCAAACACCCAAATCAGTTGAAAAGAAATCAGAAATCGAGATATCAACTATAATTGAAATCAAACAGGTAAAAATCAAAATCCTGAAACAAACCACAACCAATGTCAGGAGGTTTAGAAAGAAATTAGAAAAAATTAAGAAAAATAAATGTATAAAACTCACCAAAAACAGTTCAAGTGAAATCAGATCAAAAAATCCAACAAGACCTTTCTGGCTTTCTACTTTCCTTGCCGGTTTTGCTTCAGGTTAACAGTTAACTGGTTAAGAAAATCGAACAATCATAAATCGAATTCCAACTTGCAAATCTGAAATCGCAATACTAGGGGTGAGCATTTGGACCGAACCGGACCGGCTCTTGGACCAGACCGGTTATGGAGAATATTGTGAACCGTGGACCGGACCGGATGAGTCGTGTCTGTGTCCGTGTCTGGGTCCGGGTCCGGGTCCAGGTCCGGGTTTTCCGGTTCTTTGACTCGTTTGGACCGGTACAACTTTAATTGCATAGAGTATAAGTCGTTAAAATAAGTTTTGGGTTTGATATAACTCGTTAAAACGAATATGTTGTTGAGTTTGATACGATACAACTTGTAAAAATGATTACATTTCCGTTTCATGCATAAGTAATCTACCTTGTTGTTATAATATTATAACTTGCAAAATTAATTTTCCAAATAAAAGCAACTAACATATAAATCAAGTTCACCAAGATCTTTTTCATATGATTTATCTGTCAAATATACATAAAAGTCAGAATTATAGTCTAAAATAATAGTTAAAAAGCTGAAATATTTCAGCTTTGATAGCTCAACTTTGAAGGATTGTAACTCACTGAATATAATACCAAAATCAAGAAAATTATAGTCTAAATTCATCTACAAATTGTAAACTAAATGTTGGAAAAAACCGCAGTTCAATCCGACTTAAAACGAATGAGTTATGGTTGTTTAAAAAAATTCATCGGACCGTTTTTTTGGACCCCCGGGCCGGTTCTCGGTTCTGGGAATCCATCAAAACCGGTCCGGTTTTTTTCCCGGCCCAGTCCGGTTTTTACCGGGTTTAGAACCGGTTGGACCCGATTTAAAAAAAATCGTAATATGTGAAATTTTTTATACAACCATAACTCATTCGTTTTAAGTCGGATTGACACGCGGTTTTTCCAACGTTTAATTTACAGTTTGTAGATGAATTTAAAATATAATTTTGTTGATTTTGGTATTACATTCAATGAGTTACAGTCTTTCAAAGTTGAGCTACCAAAGCTGAAAAATTTCAGCTTTTCAGCAACATTTTTAAAATTTTTTAATCTGTGAATTTTTTTTAAATAACCATAACTCATTCGTTTTAAATCAGATTGACCTGCAGTTTTTTCAAACATTTAGTTTACAATTTGTAGATGAATTTAGACTATAATTTTCTTGATTTTGGTATTATATTCAGTGAGTTACAATCCTTCAAAGTTGAGCTATCAAAGCTGAAATATTTCAGCTTTTTAACTATTATTTTAGACTATAATTCTGAATTTTATGTATCTTTGACAGATAAATCATATGAAAGGGATCTTGGTGAACTTGATTTATATGTTAGTCGCTTTTATTTGGAAAATTAATTTTGCAAGTTATAATATTATAACAACAAGGTAGATTAGTTATGCATGACACGGAAACGTAATCATTTTTACAAGTTGTATCGTATCAAACCCAACAACATATTCGTTTTAACGAGTTCTATCAAACCCAAAAACTTATTTTAACGACTTATACTCTATGCAATTAAGTTGTACCGGTTCAAACGAGTGCAAGAACCGGAAAACCCAGACCTGGACCCGGACCCGGACACAGACACGTACACGACTCATCCGGTCCGGTCCACGGTCCACAATATTCTCCATAACCGGTCCAGTCCAAGAGTCGGTCCGGTCCGGTCCGGTTCGGTCCAAATGCTCACCCCTATGTAGAAGGATGGTAAACAGATCCTCGATCTCTCCAACTCGATTTAGACTTTAGTGCCTTAGAGGTCTCCTCGATCTCTCAATCTCTAACGTTTTTCTTGGGGCGATACCTGATTTGACGATTCCAATTCTCAAAGTCCCGCTCAAGAAGTCCCGCTCTTGCAAGACGTCGAGTCGACTGCCTTCTTGGCTTCTTGGACTAAATTTTTGGGCCAAAGTACTTAGTGGACTTAATTTATGCCCACCTTAGTTTGATGCCCTGAGCTTAAGCTCAACTCGTCCATGTATTAAGTCGGGCCTGTATGTTATTAATACATATTAATATTAATATATATATATATATATAATACACATATTTAATAGTATTACACAACATATACACAATACAACATATAGACATTGTATGTTTTCTATATTTGAACACCGGCACATATTATAATATATATATATATATATATATATATATATATATATATGGTGCAGTTCGGTTATTTACTGTATAAAAACCGTACCGCATCGAAATTCTTCATTTTTTGCAAAACCAAAAACCACACCGTCAGTTTTAGTTTCAATTTCGGTTTATGGGATTTTTTTTTCATTTTTTTTTAATTGTTGTTCGGTTTGCAAAACCAAAAACCCCTATCAGTCACGATAGAAATTGAAACCACAAAGAATACCATAAAAAATAAATAAATAAAAATTGATTACCTTTCTATCACGATAGAAATTAAAAAAATAAAAACTTTCTAAAATTAAAAAACAAATTTGATAACACAATTTGAAAAAAAAAATACTAATAAGCGCCTCTTTGCCCACATGTCCTTTTCATCGGTCTCTCTCCTCTCTCTCTCACATTTGTCCTCCACTGAAGTCATCCTCCACCGCTGCCCTCCTCACACTCTCACATACGATGAGTCCTCACTCTCTCTTCCATGCCCTAGCTCAATCGCCGGTGATTTCAGTTCCGATTTCAAAAGCTTAGTGTGATTTCAGTTCCGATTTTATCAGCTTAGAGCGACTTCAGTGATATCAGTTCTGACTTCAACATATTGGAGCGAAGACGTTTGAAAAACGATCAAAACAACACCCAAATCAAACCAACGTTCTTTTAGGTAAGTCTACTAGTCGTTCATCGTTTTCGGAATTGCTGGACAAACTTTTGTCAGCCATTCTCCTACGAAATCAAGCGAACGTTCCTTTAGGTAAGAATCCAATTGATTTTCTGGGTATCCATTTGTTCTTCATTTAGATGGATTCGATCCAATTGGGGTGAACTAGGTTATCTAAGTATGAAGCACATCATTTGGGTTCGATTCGAAGGCAATGTCTTTGTTGGGTTCGGTTTCAGGAAAGTATTATAATATTCAGTGGAATACATAGAATAAAGGGGTGTTTCGGAGTGCTTTTCAAATTTCAAAATGTTTTTGAAAAAGTCAATAAATTAAAAAAATGTTCGGTAAACACAACTTTTTAAGTCTTTTTCAAAAAACCAATAAGTTGTTTGAATTCAGTGGTCTTTCCCTTTAATATTGTGTTAGATATGTATAAAATTAAGAAAGAAAATCTATTTGGTTTTGCAGCATTTGAGAAAGTCATCAAAAGAAGAAATGAAAGGTAAAGGTAAAGGCAATAGTCAGGACAGAATTAGCGCTCTTCCTCAAGACACAATCGAAAAAATTCTGACTCATATGCCAATCAGAGATGCATTGAGGACAAGCATTTTGTCAAAGAAATGGAGGCATTGCTGGAAGGGAATGCCTAAACTTGTATTTGATGACAAGTACTTGAATAGCTCATCAAGTAGCAAAGAAATTAACAAATATAAGTTTGTCAATGCCATCTTCCATGTTTTGATGCTACACAATGGTCCAGTATCAGAATTCAGTATCTCTATTAATATTGATACAGAAATTGTTGATCAGATTGACCAAATAATACTTCATCTTTCAAAGAGCAAAAATATTAAGAAACTAATCTGTAAGTTTTGGTCAAATGACGTCATGAAGTTATTATTTTTTAAGCGCTACAAGCTACCCTCGGTGTTCTTTTCATTACACGGACTAGAACACCTACATCTCACACATTGCATCATTGAGCTTCCATTAAAATTTAATGGATTTATTACCTTGAGGAGTCTCGAGTTATGCAATGTCAACATCACTGTGAAGACGCTTCAACAATTACTTACCAATTGCCCAATACTTGAGGAATTTATACTGGTAATTAAGTCCAATATAACCATTTATGAAAGCGCCTTTGGTTAAAACCTTCTTACAAAGTATATTGATGCAGATTGGATCTCAAAACAACACTTTTGCACTAGGAAACAAGTGTACATTTCTTGAGCTATCCAAGTGTTTACCTTCGGTTCAGGTTCTGAAAATCTCAAAGTATTATATCAAGGTAATAAATACTTAACTTGATGCTTTTATCTCATGCAACAATATTGTGTTTTAATTCTAGTTTTGGTATTCGGCTAAAGCAGTTTGCTAAAGGCAGTATGCAGAAGCTCCCTACTTTACTAGTCCACTTGAGGATTCTTTTTCTTGATTTGTGTTTTCTGAAACAAGATGAGCTTTCGAATGCTCTCAGTGTGATCAGCTGCTCCCCAAATTTGGAGAAAATAAAAATAGAGGTAGATAGATATAAACTACACACAATCACATACATAGTAACAATAGATCTTCAATTCTGTTGACAAAAATATATATACAATACATGTTTTTTGATCAGCTGTGTTGGATCCATAAGCTGTGTGGTGAAGAAACTTGCAAGGACTTGCTTGATCTTCAAGACGACTATTTGGGAATGAAGTTGGATCACCTTGAAGAACTTGAGATAAATAGTTTCCATAACTATGCTCCTGAAATGGAGTTTGTGAAACTCATCATGGCTAAATCACCTATGCTTAAGAAAGCACGAATAGAACTCAATTCAGATGTTTCTGTGGATAAAGAAAATAAGATTCTTCGAGATTTGTTGCGATTAACATTTCCACGTGCATCACTAGGAGTGGATATCATTGTTGAACGCTAAACAATTATATGTGGATGCAATTGGGCTTTTAGTTTTCTTTGTTAAGTTTAAGGATTGTTGAAGCACAATGCCTTTATTGTCCATTTGAACTCGTTTAAATGTCTTTTTTGGATTGATTGTTAGCATTATGATAACTGTTACTTTCTATGATTGCGCTTCGCTCATCATTATTATGACATCTCCAACCTAACACCAAATCTCATTTGGTTGCACCATTTTAGTGTAAAAGAATAATATAATATTTGAAATTGTGTCAAGCTTAATATGATAATTTTAGTCTTCAAGATTTTGATCTATACACACTAACGTATTTAATAAAAACTTAAAATTCATTTATGTCTCACACTACAAATATTCTAATAAAACAAACAATTAACTTGAATATTATTGCAACAAAAAATATATAACACAATTTGTAACAATTCAATAAATATAAAGAATCTTTTTGAAAATCTACAAAAAAGAGACATACATATAATGTATTTTGTGATATATATATATATAAATAATATTTTATGAATTGAAGGAATTTAATTGTGGCACAATCTTTATATGATTTTGGAAAGAAATTAGGCTCAATACCAGATTTACCAAGTTGGGCTGTTGGCTGTTTGGGCCCTATGTTGCAACTTGGTCTAGCGGCCCTTGATTTGGGCTGGGCATGTCATTTTATCCCTTGTATAAAAAATATTGTTCCAAACCACCACCCGCCCTTAGTATAGTAGGGTTGATCGGTGTATACTTTCTTATTTAATCACAGAAAATATTTTGGGGTGCGTTTATTTATGAAAAAATAGACTGTTTTTTGGAAAAAAAATTTGTATATTTTGAAAACGTGTTTAGTTCAACAATTTTTCTAAATTTTACGGAAAATGAAAAATTTCAGGGCCAAAATTACAAAGAACTTGAAATTTTTTAGAAAACTAATAATTAGTGTTTTTCATATTTTTCTAATTTCAAAATTTTTCTAAAATACAAATACACACCTATTCCCACCCCACACGCCTCTACCTACCCCCACCTTAACACCCCAACCCACCACACCTATACCTACCCACACCCACCTACCCCCACCCCCTCAGACACACACACACACACACACACATCAACCCAACCCCACAAAGGCACAAACACACATACACACACACCCACGAACACACGCCCATACTCACCCCACCCACATCCCCACAAACACACACACACACACACAAACATACACCCACACCCCCACCCAAACCCACACCCCCATAACATACACAAACACCCACACACCCACCCACAACTACCCCCACCCACACCCCCACAAACACACACACACAACCACGTACACACCCACAAACACACACCTACACCCCCACAAACACATACAAATCTACAAACACACACACACCCACACCCACACCCACTCCCACCCCCCCAAAAAAATACATCCACCCAACACCACTACTACAATCACCGACCTACCATCACCATCACCACCACCACCCTATCACCAACACCACCACCATCGCCGCCACCATCACTGCTACCACCGCAACCATCACCACAACTGCCACAATTGCCGCCGTCACCACCACTGTCTGTCATCACCGCCACCCCACTGTCGCTGCCACCGTCGCCATCATCGAAACCACCACTGCCCCCGCCGCCATCCTCACCCCGCCCTACCACCACTACTGTTTTCTAAAAATGAAAACCAATAGGAAAATACACATCTAAACACATTTTCTAATTTTCTAAAACTGAAAATGAAAAATGAATAAGTTTTAACTAAACGCGTTTTTTAAACCTTTCAGTGAAAACTGAAAACGGAAAATGAAAATTGAAAAGGGAATACAAAAAATGGAAAATGAAAATTGTTTTTCCGTAACTAAACACAACCTTAGAGTTTTAGATTTTATCAATCTGCAACACTCCTTTCAAAACACATACATGATCCAAATAGTTATGTATAATTCACTTCTTGAATCAACAACTAAAACATAAAATCTTCGTAAACATTAAACCTAAAAAGATAAGACCGCTAAAAGAGAATATCTAGATGGAACATATTATTAGATAAGATTTTTTAAAAAGTGATTATTGTAATAATCGACATTATAACCCTGTTATAATTTAGTTCTGCTTCTAGTGTTTTTCGGGCTGATTCGGTTCCACCAGGTCAAATGTTCATCCCTAATATAGTCAATACATTTGTCAAACTTATCTTTTAACAACTTGTCAAGTTTGACTATTTTTCATAAATTTTATCTAAATCATAATTTATTATTTAAATATTTAATTTCATTTTCCATTTTTTATTAATATTTATTGTTTTTATTAATTTCCTATATTATTATCCAGATTATTTTATTTATTTATTTCAATTATTTAATAAAAATATTTTAACCCTAAAATTTAAGGATGTTACAATAATCCGGTTAGTATTCAAATACTTAAAACATGTTATTGTGAATGTGAAATAGCAATAAGTCAATATTCAAATCAGTAACTCCCAAATAGCTCTTAATAAAACTAAAATGAAATAACTAAGTAGACCGAGAAAATAATATTTTATCCAAACCGTGAGATTTTTTAGGGGTATCAAATCTATCAAGTAGTTGTAAGACAAAGAATAAAAGAAGCAAAAAATGTTAAATTTTAAAGTTAACGTTTTGCTTCAAAAAGAACTTGGCCAAGACTCCCAGAGAAGAAAAGTATGTGCTGGTGAATTTTTTTAATAGTTGTATTTAAGTGTAATTTGTTGACCAAAATCAATCTTGATGAATATTAAACAAGTAAGGAAGGTGTGGAGTGCACACTTGTTTAAGTTTATTCAAGATTGAAAGTAGACTGTCATTTAGGGGCGAAACCCCTGAACGAACGGGGGTCCGGGGACAACGCCCCTGGGAGTGGGGTCCAAGGGGCGGTAGCCCCTGGCGATGTCCAAGGGGAAGAGCCCTTGGCTGGGGTCAAGTTGAATTTATTAGAAATTTGGGTTGTATTGCTTTATTAGAAATTTAGGTCGAGCTAAATTTATAAGAAATTTGGGTCCAAATGGCAGAGCCCCTAGCTGGGGTCGAGCTGAATTTGGGTTGTATTGCTTTATTAAAAATGCATCAGAAATTTGCTTCTCTGAAAATTAACCTGGTTTAACCATCCTTGGAAAACCCGAATTTGTGGCAATTTTGTTGGTTGCTAAAACTGTCTAAGGATAGTTTTTGGCAATTTCCAGACATAGAAAACAATTTTGGTGACAGTTTTTGGACATGGATGGTTATAACCAATTTTGGTCATCATATTCTGGTACAAGAACCGAATTCATAACCTCTCATTCTCTTCTTCTATTTTCTCTCATTTCTAAGTCTTATCCAATTGAGGATTTCGGGAGTACCACCGAAATACTTCAATTTGAAAGTTTTCAACATGATTCTCAGAATTTCAAGTGCTCTATTACATCCCAAATTTCTACAGTATTGAATCTTAATTTTTTCATTTTCCACAAAGGTATCCAAAACTTAATCACATACAATTCAATATAGTAAATAATTATCGCACTTTGAATTAAAAAAGACATACATCTATAAAATAGAAAATGTTACAAAAATCATTGCATACCTTTCAGAGAAAACAAATCCTGATTTTTCTTTTTGTTTAAATCACACCTTCAAGACTATAATTTTATTTCACCATCAGAGTTGAATTCTCTTTTTTAAATATGGGAGACCACTTACCCAGATCGGAGTCCGAAGGTTATCGATTCCAAAACGACTTAGGAGATTTTTGTTTTTTTTAAACCTCTTCTAACCACTTTTAGTTGTGTCGCGCAACACATGTGCAACACTTGTTATCTCGTAGTTGTTTGTTTTTTAAAGGGTTATAACATAAAAACTTCTACGTGTGTTCTACGCCACATAACTGTTGGCATGCCTCTTCAAACCACTTCTCAACCCTTCTAAACCTTAAAAAATGGGCATCGTATCGTAAATGTTGCTCCGATCTTATTCCTTCCATATAATCTCGTCGTCCCATCTCTTTGCCTGATCTCTTATCGTCGCAACCCAGCTATTCACATCCCTCGTGAATCATCGACATATCCTTTTCTTTTTGCATAGCCTGAAATAGGTTTTGTTATGTTGATTTCTGAAATCGATTTTGATTCTGATTTGCTGAAATAGTTTTTCTGATTTGCAGTTTTTCTGATTTGCTAAAATATACAGACTTGCTCAAAATTGATTTTCTTATTTGATAAATGTCAAGGAAAAATCTGATTTTTGTTAGGGAGGAGGGAGTCGTTCCCTCCCAACCCACTGAACCCACTGCCACATCAATTTTTGTCTCTTATTTTTTTTCATCTTTTGCAACCCACAACACACGGAAATCCTATCTTTTTGAACCCACTCAACCCACTAAATTAAAAAAAAATACAAAACAACTAAGGTACAAGTTTTAAAACACATGGTACAAGAGTAGGGATGGCAAAAAAGCCCGAACCCGACGGGGAAACCCGAAACCCGATCATTTTGGGTCGGGTAACGGGTCGTTATTTAGTTTTTTATCGGGTTCGGGGCAGGGAGTGGGTTCTCCTCGCCCCGACCCGCCCCGCCCGATTATATATATATATATATATATATATATATATATATATATATATATATATAATATATATATATATATTATATATATATATATATATACACACACACACACACACACGATCCTTTTGATGTTAATTGCACGCATTCAAAGATAAAATACTTACTGTGGACAATCTTTTTAGTGTTTAAAAATTTGGTGTGAATGATCATTTTTTATGTTTTGACATATTACACTAAACTTAAATCAAATAATCTTTTTAGTTATTAACAATTATTTATGTTTTGACGTATTATACTAAACATAAATAAAATAATTTTTAATATAACGTCCGGTTTATTTTATTAAAGTGATGCATCATATTTTTAATTTAAAAGGGAGGTTAGAACATGTGTTTTTTATAAGACATCAGGGTACCCTAAAACGGAATAAAGATTTTGTTATGAATTGTTATAAACCCGATAAGATACCCGAAACCCGACGGGAAAACCCGAAACCCAATGGGCGCCCCGATAAGATACCCGAAAATTATCGGGGCGGGTTTGGGAAACCATGACCCGCCCCGAACCCGCCCCGTTGCCATTCCTATACAAGAGAAAATAAGAAAGAGAAAGTAGAGAGAGATGATAAAGTGGGTTAGTGAAACCAATCAACCCACTCGTTGAAGCGGGAGTGGTACTGCCGATAACTCTATTGCTAATTAAAATTTTACATTTGATTGTTTTGTATTTTTTTTAATTGAGTGGGTTGAGTGGGTTCAAAAAGATAGGTTTCCGTGTGTTATGGGTTCGGAAAGATGAAGAAAAATAAAAGAGAAAAAGTGATGTGGCAGTGGGTTCAGTGGGTTGGGAGGGAATGACTCCCTCCTCCCTTATGGTGATTTGCTTCCACCCATGTATATGTTTCCTTTCTTTGTTGAATTGGATGTCTAAAGAGTGGAATGGATCTGTATACATCTAGTGGTAGTAATTTAAGAGGGAAACAAAGTTGTGTATTACAGGTGCTCGATGAAATGCTTGAGAGAATATTGAATTTTAGTTTAATTGCTTTTCATTTGATCTTAATCGACACATGTCTAGTAACAAATGTAAATGGTCAAATTTGCTTGTGCATGTTATGAAGCTATTGGCACATCTCTGTAATTTCTTTATAAAAGTATAAAAATATGATGTTTTTATGCTTGTAATCAAAAGTATGTTGGTAAAAACGTGATGTATTTATGATCTTTGAAATCACACATGTATTTGTGGGGCAAGTGAAACAAAGGCAAACAGGATCCAAGAGAATGTTGCTCCAAATATTGAATCAAGCTTTTGTGAAGGAACTCCAAATCAAGAGCAATTTGAAGCAATTCAGGACATTATTTAGCTAAAACAATGTAATTTTAATGTTAATTCATTTAATTTGTAAATAATATTTAATAGTATTGAATGTTTTTATAAAAAATGTAATGAATTTTATTTTAATGTTGTAAGACTGAAATTATTAAAATTTGTTGTTGAAACTATTGTATTTTTGTAAAGTTAGTTTGTTTAAATTTCAGTTTATTGCAGTAACCTGCAGACGTTAAAAAACAAACAAACTTCTTATTACATCCTGCACCATTTGGTTCCCCTCTTCTCTTGCATCCTTAACTTAACTGTGGTCATTTTTCAATCCAAAAATAGATTAGTTTTTGTTATACTATTAAGTATTGGTCATTTTTGTAAATATCAAGATAACTTCATCAGTTGTCTGATAAATAAAGAACGATGCCTTCATGTCTCTCTTCACTCAAATCGGTAATTTGTTGTGGGTCAGGCTTGTCTGATCTTCGTTCGCAATGCCATTTTTCAACGGTGTTCCATAAATATTGAATTCATATATTACCTTCATTATTTGTATACTCCAATGGTTGTAATTCATGCCACTTAATTTTGGAAAATGAAGTTGCAGAGCATCACTATTTGATGCCATGGAGGATGGCTCTGTTAAAGCTCGTCTGGGATAAATTACGAATGCAAAATGCTTGCTTAAGAGAATAAACCGAATAAACCACAGAAATTTTGTATCATACATGCATTAACACGATTTACACAGGTTTGTTTTTGTACACATATATAGACATACAAAATAGCCGCCAAATAACTACCAATATGACGGTTATAATAACTAAATTAACTACCCCGACTAGATCAAGTCTAGATTATAATTCTAACAGTTTCAAAAACCATATTTTTTAACCAGCAATCAAGTTGGAATCACCAAAAGTTACTTGCATTTACTCCTAGATTTGTTGGGGCGTTCAATAATGACGTCTGCTGCTGGTGATGCCCTTGGAAATGACATTCGTACCAAATCTCGAAGCAAATTGAGTTCTTGGTCAACCGAAACATTTGGATTAAGCTCTATTCGTGCTTTCTCGAGGACAGTTGAAATTACCATGATGAGCTTCAGAAACTCCATCTCAAGAGCCAAAATACTGAATCTTGTTATCTCCAGTTCTTTAAGATGATTCAACTTGAGACCCGAGTAGTCTTGAAGATCAAGGAAGTTGTTGGAAGTTTCTTGAGCAGACAACTTATCGTTGCTAGACATCTAATCGAATACAAGTCAGATAGTCAATAAAATTACTAAGATAAGTTACCATATGTGATAGCATGTGGTTCATATTCACCTCCATTCTTATCTTCTCCAGGTTAGGGGAGCTGCTGATCACACAAAGAACAGAAGAAAGCTCATCTTTTTCCAGAAAACACACATTGAAAACAAGTATCCTTAGGTGGATTAGTGGAGTGGGGAGCGTTTGTGGCATACCACCTGCAGCAAAGTGCTTTGACCGAATAACAAAAACCAAGATTAATTAATCACAATTACTATCAGGTTTAGTCTTTAACACTTAACGTACCTTGATATAAGTCTCAGAGATTTTCAGAACCTGAATCGAAGGTAGACACTCAAACAGCTCGATAAATGTACATGTGTCTCCTCCTGTAGTAAAGCCTTCTTGATTTTCAATCTGCAGCATAATACATTTGTAAGAAAGTCTTTAATTGGAGCTTCATAAGTGGTTATATGGACCTTACCAGTATAAATTTCTCAAGCAGTGGGCACCTGGTAAGTAGTTTTTGAAGCATTTTGGCAGCTATCTCAACATTGCGAAACCTCAGGCTTTTCAAGAAAATAAATCCATGAAAGATTGAAGGAAGCTCAAAAGCACAATATGTAAGATCTAGGTGTTCTAATCCTTGCAATGAAAAGAACGAAGAGGGTATCTTGTAGATCTCGAAGCGTTCAGCTAAACACAACTTAAAGTTGAATTTCTTGCTATTGTTGCTCCTTGAAAGATGGAGGATTATCTGGTCAAGCTCATTAACAGTTTCTCTATCACCAATAGAGATACTGAAATCCAATATGGGACCCTTATGCAGTAACAAAACAAGAAAGATGGAATTGATAAGCTTATATCTTTTAAGTTGTCTTCTTCTATATGATCCATTAACAAGCTTGTCATCAAATACAAGTACAGGTATCTTTGTCCAACGATACCGCCATTTCCTTGACAGAATGCTCGTCCTCACTGCATCGCGTATTGGCATAAGAGTGAGAATTTTGTCAATTGTGTTTAGAGGAAGCTTGCTGATTATATCGGAGCTTAGGCGTTGAAGTTTCATGGCTACAAATGGAACGCGAAACCAAATAGATTCAATTAATAAAGACTAGAAGACAATGAAGATCAAACATGCATGCGATAAGTAGGATAAAATATCCTAAATATGCTCCACATGAATGCTAGCTACAGCTAGCGTCCTAAATCCTTTATTTAACCCCGCTTGATAATAAAAACTTCGATATCTCAAATACGTGAATGATTCCCTTCTTTTCGTGATTAAAAAGGTTATGTACATATTTGATGATATTCATTGATACAAAGTGATGAAATAGGATCGGGTATTATGAACGAGAAGAAGGTAGTTACGTCAAAGTAACATGATCACAAAAAAAATCTAAAATGGTCTCGACTTCGTACTTCCGGATCAAATGTTAAAGTTGGTTGGAGTTAATTGGCGTTCTAATAATAATATATATGTAGTATATAAACGAGTTTCAAACTTCAAATAAACCGCATTTTCGTAAGTTCTACAATCTTTAATCGGTTATAAACTTCAGATAATCGAGATTTTTGAGAGAAAAACCTTGCCTCCAGGTTTCTGCAAATCTTCTGTAGTGCTTTGTTCACGAGACCGTCGATGGCAAGAAGAACGGGCGCGAAGCAACTGCAGTATTTAATTTATAGGTGGACAACAGGAGTTAATAAATGGCTATAGAGTTGTTCTTTTTTACAACTTGCATTTCGTTAATGATCATACACATAAAATATATTATTGTTTATAAATAAATATAGAAAACGATAAATATCAATTTAACTCTATAGAAGCATTCGTTAAAATAAAATCATTCAAGCTAAAAACCCTTAATATTGATAACTTTAGTATGTAAAAACAAAATTCCTCAAACAAAATATTGATAGTAAAAATATGAATATTCTATAAAAAAAAAAAAAAAAAAAAAAAAAAAAAAAAAAAAAAAAGTTCACATGAACGGATAAATCTTGAGCAACCAACTAATACGAACAATGTGAGTGTGACAAGCCGCCTGACAATACGACGGGCATTGCTCCCTCAGCAAATGTCACGATCACATTTATTAATTATTATTTTAATATTTTATATAATGCATTTCAATAGGCAGACAATATTTATGTAAGAAAATTCATGTAATAATCAGAATTGAAGAGTGTTTTAAGCATTTAACTAAAAAAAATTGGAGTTTTGGAAAATAACCATGAGTTTCAGAAAGGGCTCTCCAGATCCCTTTAAAACTATGAGGAAATATGAATAATATTGAGGAATTGACGTGGCTTTACTAAAAAACAAAAAAATATGATGGGTATTATGGTTCCGCAGAGGTGGCTTTGCGGATACATTTAACCCTCTGTGGAAGTTTAAATTCTCTAAGAAAATGGTAGTTACTCCTCTTCAACAGATCCGCAAAGCCGTCTCTACGGATCCCTACAACACCTCTACGGAATTGTTGATTTATCTACGGATTCCACCATATTTTTTTGTCTTTGAGTGATGTCATGTCAATTCATCAGTACTATTCATCGTTCCTCAGAGGTTCAAAGCGATCTGCAGAATCCTCTCTACGGATCTTATGGTCATTTTCAAAAACCCAAATTTTCTTACTTAAAACACCCCCTCAATTTTAGTTATTTTATTAATTTTCTTGCTTTTGATATTTCAAATTCCTAGATAACAACAGATAATAAAATATTGTTTTAGGCTACAAGTTGTCTCACATTTATCACGTTAAACTGTTGCTACGTAGACATCATCTTATTTTTTGTATATTTCTTCAACGTCTTGATATTTAGGAGGGGTATTATCATACTTTTTTTTTTATCAATTTAAATTTATCATTTTCTTTAAAGATATTTTAATTACAACAAATAATAATAATAATAATAATAAAACTTCAATATTTACACCCTTACACACTAAAATATATAAACATAACCAAGTTAAACACTTAAAAAAATAAAAATTTAAGGGTTGTTTGGTATTAAATATTAGACAAAACTGCAAAAATGGTCCCTGTGGTTTCTCATTTTATGTGGCTACGGTCCAAACGTTTGAAAAGTTGCAGATTTGGTCCTTTTCAACAAGTTTTGTTGTTGTTTTAGTCCCTCATCCGTTAACTTCCTTAAAATGACAATTTTAACCCCATGGACCATTTTCGCAGTTTTGTCTTTTACTATACTATAAGGACCATTTTTGCATACATTCTTTTTTATTTTAATGTAGTATTATATATTAATAGATATTATTTTTAATATATAATATTATATATTAATAAATATTTTTTATTGGATTATTAATTTATTTTAGTTGATTTTTTAAAAAAAAATATGTTGGAGTAATTCTTTTTTATTGAATTATTATATATCAATACATATAGTTTTTTAATATATAATATTTATATCATAATAAATATTATATTATTGGATTATCAAATTTTTTTGTTAATTTTTGTAATTTTTAATTATTTTTTATTGTATTATTACTTATAATTTATTTTTTTCTTCATATACTAAATGTTGTTTTTATTGTATTATTAATTTATTTAGTTAATTATATATTTTTAATTTTTTGGCTAAGTAATTCTTTTTTATTGAATTATTATATATCAGTACATATAGTTTTTAATATATAATATTTATATCATAATAAATATTATATTATGGGATTATTATATATTACAAAATATTATTTTATTAGATTATTAATTTCTTTTAGTTGATTCTTTTTATAATTTCTTTTTTGTTGGAGCAATTTTTTATATTAGATTATTATATATCAACAAATATTATTTTTAGTATATAATATTTACATCATAATAAATAATACATTATTGGATTATTAATTTTTGTAATTTGTTTTTTTGAATTATTAATTTGTTGAAATATTACTTTTAATATATTATTTTTTTAATATAATAAATATTATCTTATTGGATTATTATTTTTTTTTAATGTATACTAAATGTTTTTAATTTTATTAGTGTCACCACAAAGTCGTCGAAATACGTAAAAGTGTCGCTTATCATCGTCAAATATTGGCAGGATCCACCTCCAAACACCTTCATTGGAGGTTCAATAGATACCCTACCTATTCCACCTAGCGTTGCTGGTAGCTACCTGCGACAACCTCTTCATAATCCACTGGAATCCTTCATATCCCACATAATGCACAACAAACCCCTATAACATTTATAAGTGGTAGTAGTGACCGAGTGATGGTGATGGTATTTTCCCTATGGTTTCTCATTATAAGCTAGATGAAATGAAAGTGTTTGGCAGCAATCCTAACGATTTCGATGATGAGAGACGACGGTTTGCGTATCCCATGACTTTATGGTGGAACCAATAAAATTAACAAGAACTATTATTATAATTAAAAATAAATTAATAATCAAATAAAATAATATTTAGTATATGAAGAAAATAATAAATTAAAAGTAATAATCCAATAAAAAATAGTTTAAAAAAAATTACAAAAAATTAACTAAAAGATAATATTAATCCAAAATAATATAATTTATTATGATATCAAATCTTATATATTAAAAAACTATATTTATTGATATATAATAACTAAATAAAAAAATAATTACTTCGACAATTGTTTTTAAAAAAACATAATTAACTAAAATAAGTTAATAATCCAATAAAACAATATTTAGTATATGAAGAAAATAATAAATTAAATAATCCATAAAAATAATTTTAAATTAAAAGATTAAATATTAACTAAAAGAAATTAATAATCTAATAATATATTTATTTGATATAAATATTATATATTAAAAACTATATGTATTGATATATAATAACTTAATAAAAAGAATTACTCTAACAAAAAAAATTAAAAAAAATCAACTATAATAAATTAATAATCCAATAAAACAATATTTATTAATATATAATATTATATATTAAAAATAATATTTATTAATATATAATACTTCAATAAAATAAAAAAGAATGTATGCAAAATGGTCCTTATGGTATGGTAAAAGAACAAAAATGCGAAAATGGTCCCTGATGGGTAAAATTGTCATTTTAAAAAAGTTAACAGCCAACCAGTTAAACTTAATGGATGAAGGACCAAAACCACAATAAAACTTGTGGAAAAGGACCAAATCTGTAACTTTTCAAACGTTTGGACCATAACCACATAAAATAAGAAACCACGGGGACCATTTTTGCAATTTTGTCTAAATATTAATTAAGAGGTCTGAATTTCTAAGAAAATCAAAATTTTTAATATTTGAATTTTAACATGTTGATTGGTTTAAGCCACTGAATTTTTATACTGAATAATAAAAATGACAATTTTATATTTCCCTATCATTTCTTTTTATTACAACATTGTACTTCCACCTGTTGCTTATTAAGACATCGTATTTTAAAAATAATAGTAAATTGTAGTTTTGGTTTCTGTAGTTTGGTCAGATCCACACATTGAGTCCAACATTTGAAAATTTGATACGATGCATCCCTATCCCTATGGTTCAAAGAAATTACATTGTACGTTGATTTAAAAATACCATTTTATATTTACTTCTATATTTTTGTTTTTCTTTTATGTGTGTGTATGTCTCTCTCTCTCTCTCTTTCTCTCTCTCTCTCTCTCTATATATATATATATATATATATATATATAACAATTATTAACGATTGAACCAACAAACCAATCTTTTTTTCAACTTTTACAATTTATTTTTTATCAATAAAAAATACAGAAATTGATAACATTTTATCATTTTTTCAATGATATCAAATTCGATAAAAAAAATTATTTTTTTTCATGAAATTCATAGTGTGAATCTATGCAGATTCTCAGTGTGAATCTAAGTTCACACGGTGAATCCGAAAAATATATAATTTATTTTTTAGCATTCACAATTTGAAGTTATGAATTTAGATTTTTTTTTTGTTTTTTTTTTCGATAAACAACAAACTCTAAAACTTGAAAAATATTTTGTTCCTTGGAAAACCATTTATAATGGTTCTTATTGAAAATTTTCATTATATATATATATATTATATATATATATATATATATATATATATATATATATATATAAAGAACAAAATGTAAAAAAAAAACTAGAAAAAATTATTCAAAAACATAAAAAAAATAATAAAGAACAAAATGTAAAAAAAAACATTAAACAATATATTTACATTTTGTTCTTTATTATTTTTTTTATGTTTTTGAATAATTTTTCTAGTTTTTTGACGTGATGTTTGAATATATTTTAATCTTTTTTTGACATTTTGTTTGTTTTTATTTTTAAAATATTTTTTGTAAAAAATATAAAAACTAGTTAAATGTGAATATTATTAACATAGATTAGGTATAAAATTATTTTCTAATATGATTAATAGATAGGGTAACCGAAATTCGAAAACGGGTTTCAAATTATATAATGGCTAATTGGAAACCATATAACTCGAAAAATAAAAAATTTTCTAAAAATAAAAAATGAACTCGAAAACATTGACACATGTGTTTGAGTTATAGGAATTCTGATTAGCATTTGCTATTCGGAACAAAATGTAAAATAATTTCTAAAATTAAAAAAATTGAACTCAAAGTCATTGACACTCGTTTCAAATTCCGGTTAGCTTTTACAATAACCATATCAAAATAAATACTTTTATACCTAATATGTGTTAATCATGTTCACTTTTAACAAACTTTTTTATATTTTTTTATACAAAA